AAATAAAATAATATTTTTCAAATCCAGAAGTATCTAGTTTCCTAATTATCCATAAAGAATATTCCAAATACCCTAAAAAACCCTCCTTAATTTCATTGAAGGGATTGGAAGATTCTGGAATACATTCTTGTTCAACTATTGGATAATTACAACTTCAGTCCTTGCACTTTTAATTAATCAAATTAAGTCCAATTAATTTCTGATTAATTATTAATTAAATAATACTATTTCCATTTAATATATTAATCGTATAATATATTAATAAATCATTTATTTCAATTTATAATTAATTTATTAATCATATATAAAATTAACAAATCAGACTCTTTCTCCAAAAGTTATTCTATCCAAATACTAGTTTTGAGGGCAACCCAAAAATGACTTTGCTTTTAATTCAAGAATATACCAATTTAGTTATTGTATTAGATACCTTAATCCAAAAATTATCATATTACACAACATCTGGGACTTTCTCACATGACTTAACATTTGGTACATTTTCACATGACTCAACACTTGTATCATCCTTAGTAACGCTTTGTGGATCATCCTGAGGTACTTTTTCTAGGGTGAGATTTCCCTTAGGGCACAACTTACTCAAAAAATAATTTGCGATATTATATAACCAATTACATTTAAAGAAGAAAGCAAGTGGTTATGTATTTCTATTGGATGAATTGATGGTGTAATGGGGCTATATGAATGAAGAATTGTCGTCGGCATCCCAAATTAGGCATTCATAACTATGTCATTGATATTAGGCACACTATTGAGAAGATTCGATGCAAAATGGTAATATAACTTTAAACACAAAACTTGTAGGTAATAAAATCCTATTTCTATGTAACTTTGAATTAGATTGATTAGAGTTAGGGTGTTTGAGTTATGGCCCATAAACTAAAAGACGGTCATAAGAGGACCAAAGCTATGAACAATGTTATGGAGTTCGTGCGAGATCTCATATCATGTTCCTTGTGAGCATTAGGGGCGTTGTCGGATTGATATGGGGTCTTAGATTGTTTATGGATGTATTTTAGATTTTTAAAGAGCTAGAGAATCTAGGGGATTATTCAAAGTGTTAAATGTTGGGAAGATATATTCAGAGGGTCGCAGAGTTGTGTACAACATCCAATAAACTTTCACTTTTAATCCGCTTGCAAGATTAGGGTATTTTGATCTATATAAATTATTTTTATTTAGAAGTCAATGATGTGTTTTAAGATGTAATGAAAATTTAGGAATCCTATCGCTTACAATGTTGACGCATGAAGGTTTCTTTTCGATGGTAACCTGAACGATGTTGTGTTGATATGGTGGACATACTTCTCTTCAGAAAGGGATTATGATGTTATAAGTTAAAGTTTACATGATACATCTTGAGGAATGCATAAATTATTAACGATGATAATAGACATGATTATAAGTGAATGAAAAGAAGAATGTAACCTTTACGAAATTGAAGAAGCGGTTATACACAACACCAATCCTCACTCTTCTTGAGGGGACATATAACCTTGATGTATATAGTGATGTGTTAGATCTGTATTGGATTGTGTCCCTAAAAAGAAGGGGGATTATATACCTTACATGTCATAATAGTTTAAGGTTCATGGATTGAATTACCCCAAATCTCAACTTAGAGTTGGCGACAGTGGGTTTGCAAAGGTGATTTAGCGAAACTATTTCTATGATGTCAAGTGCAAGTTGTTCACTGATCATAAGATTCTACAATATCTCTATGATCATAAGGAACATAACATGAGGAAGAGATGTTAGATATAAATGATGAAAAACTATAATATCGAGATAGTTTTCCTACAAGGTAAAGTTAACATTATAGCTGATGCACTAAGTAGAAAGGTAATCCCCAAAAAGAAAAAGGGTTAGATCATTGAGGATAGAGGTTGTATCTATGATTATAGAAATGATAAAGAGGCTTTAGACAAGTCTTAGTGTTTGTGAATGTAAAAGTTGAAAACTTGAATACATTAGTGATCTTTAAAGATATGTTAGGGGCATGTGCTTTGGAGTCTATGGGTAGCTATTGATACCCATTCCATTCGTGGAGTTTTGATTATAAAAACAGTTACCAATCGAGCATCAAGATTAATCTTATGAGACATTTTACAGGAAGGACTGTTGGACTTTATCTTGTTGGCTTGAGGTAAGAGAAATGCAATATACATGACCAAACTTGACTTGGGAGATGAAGAATGAAAAGGATATTACCCTTATCTACTTGTCGATGTTGAGTTCTAAAACCATAATCACTATAGGTAGGAGATAAATGTAATACATGTAAATTTATGGCTGGATATTTCGAGCTTATTGAAAAGTTGTCAATTTAATCAACATCATAGATTTTGATGACAAAATACTATCTCGGTGCGAGATGTAAATTTTGGATGTTGACATGCATATTAGATAATTATAATTTAGTTCATTTATTATCTAGATCATTTAATTTAATTAAAATGGTGAAATTAATTAAATTAAAAGCCATGGATGAGCTTAGTGAGGAATTAAAAGATTATGGACTTGATTAATGAGTTTTAACTTAAAAAGGCTTTTGCTTAACATTATAAATAAAGGATTAGTAATCCTATTAGGGTTTTCTGTTGCAAAAATCGAGAAATGGAGGGAGAGAGGACGTGGTCACATTTATAGAGGACGAAGGAAGGAAAATACAAAATACGTACGATATCTATTTTTTTGTGTGTTTTGGAATGAGAATTGTAAACCGTGGGTGAAAAACAAAAGATTATTTCCATGAGATTTCAATTTTCAGTTATCATCCAAATATCAAAGAAACCCATTAGAACATTAGGTGTGGGCAACAAGGTGCAACACCAAGTTGTGCGACCTCACATGCCACATAAGCAAGTGGTGTTATAACACCAAGTAGGGAAATGAGCAAAAAGATGCAACACCAACTTTTTGAAAATAAATATGTTTTCTTTTTTATTTTTTTTCCGAAATTGGGTTTTTTTTTTTACTTTTTCGTTTTTTTACTTTTTTTTTCTTTTTTCGTTTTTTTTTCTTTTTGCATTTTTCTAATCACTAACATGAATATATTTTTTATAAAAAATAAAATTTTAAAAACCAAAAAAAAGACATAATATTTAAAATCTAAAATTACGATTACAATTAAAAAAACATAATTTTCAACCTAATATTATAACTAAAATATCATTCAGATTACTACTAAAACCACATAACAATCATAATTAACCCAAATATTTCTTTCTAATTTGTTCCTTCATCGCTTGTAGCACCGCTAGATCAGCAGACATCAGACCCTCCTCGCTCGTCCGAAGAATTGACAACTGATGTGTCATTAGTTCCCTCTCTTTTTGCTCCTGCTTCTCCCGTGCTTGGCTTTCCAGGAACTCCAAATGACGACGTTTCAACTCATTTTTTTCTTTTATTAATAAATTGTGCTCGTCGAATTTCGCTCTCATTTCCGCCGCATCTTTTGCTCTCGTCTCCACCTCCTCCGCATGTCTTGCAGCGCGCCTCGCTTTGTCGCGTCCGGGCGGTCGTCGTGGTGGGGATATCTCTTGGATATCATCCGGGATCTCATCATCGTCGGCGTTTAGGTCGATGTTAGTCTGTGCGTCTGACACGTCGACCGAGCTAGAATTGCGAGACCTTTTGGATTGAACCTCCGACGATGTAGGCGTTTTATTCCACTTTGGATCCGCTCGCAACAATTCCCATGATTTTTCAAAGTCGAAAACATGACCCATTTCAACCCGATATTGTTCCTTAGCAGATTTGAACAAATCGAAGTCGTTGGTTCCGCTTTGTTGTTGCGCCTCAAGTCGGTTGTAAATACCGTTGAATTTGTTGCACCGCTTAGTTATCATACCCCATTTGCTGCTCAACATGTCATTGTTGCGATACGAATTTTTCTTTAAAATAGCGTGAAACTTGTCGAGCACCGCCCCCCAATAAGCTCATTTTTTCATTCCATTTCCGCGAAGTTCGTTTTTTGAAGTAGCACACCAAGCTGTCGTCAAAGCGTATTCCTCCTCCGGTGTCCACCATTGTGGAACGTCTGCATTTTCTGTTTCTACCGCTATTGCTTTCCCTTTCGATTTTCCTTTTCCTTTCCCTTTCCCTCTCCTACTACCTCCCGCTTCCACTTCACCCGATTGTTGTGTCGTAGTCGATGGTTGGTTGGTTGGTTGTTGCATCGAAGCAAAAGAAGGGAAAAGATTTTGTTGTAAATTTGGGTTTTGACCAAATTGATTTTGTTGAAGGTAAGGTGAGTTGGGAAACTGTAGTGGTGGTGAAGCGGGATTGAAAGCTGCGCCTTGGTATGAGATTTGTGGTGAGCCTTGAGACGATAAAAAGTTGAAATAACCTTCATACCCCGCAAATCCGAGAGGCGAGGTTCTGTTTGGTTGTGTGTTTGGGTTTGATGATGGGGAGGTGTTTGGGTTTTGCTCCATTTTTTTAGTAAGAAAGTTTATAAAAGTGTAGATAGAATGTTTAAAAAGATGTAAAATTTGAAATAAAATGAGTATATATATATATATATATATATATATATATATATATATATATATATATATATATATATATATATATATAGGTAAAAAGGTAAAATATTTTTTTTTTTTGGTTTGAATTTGACCGTTTGTCTAAAGTCACAACGGTTAATTTTTTTGGCGTTACACTTCGTTTCCATGGCAACGAGAAGCGGACGACGAGATGCAACGAGTTGGGGGGGGGTGTTCCCCCCGTTACGACGGCGTCGAGAACGGCCACGTCACCCGCGTCGTTACTCGTTTTGGCCCATACCGATCACTCTTATATATATATATATATATATATATATATATATATATATATATATATATATATATATATATATATAAAATCACATGGGATGTTTTAAGAGTATAGTTTACCACTTTAGGTTTCCGTCACCATTCTTTGGGGACTTTGATAGTTTTCGTCCCTACAGTCTGCTTTTACAATTTTACCCCTACATTTGCTGAATCCCGCAGCTTCTTTTTTGTTCTAGATCCCTCAAACGCCATTCTTCCGATCTAACACTTACACAAACCCAACAATTTCATGTCCACCAGACCACCACCCCATCTCACTGCTCACTCTACACACTGCGCCTTCTCTCCACCGTTTCTCAAGCTTGCTGCCCCGGGGAAGCAACTACTGACGACGGTCGATTCACTGTCTTCACAAAATCGACCAGAAAATCGTTCCCAAAGTTCCAATCCCAGGTATCCTCCTCTCGATTTTATTTGTTGCCACTGATGAAAGTCGCTACCAGTTCTGGTCTACCAGGTTGTCGATATAATGTCAAGGGAAGTTATATCTTCATGTGTTGTTTTTTTTTAATACAGTTTATAAGGGATGCATTTCATGATGGGTAACAAGAATCTAGGAAGAGAACAAATCCAAGTTTACCGTATCTGATGCTACAACTTTCCTAGATTCTTATTACCGCTTGGAGAGGAAATAAAATGAAATAAGAACGCACAGTGAGATGGGATTTTAGAATTTAGAGATGATCAAACAATGAATAACGAAACATGTTTCTCACCACAATCAACTGATGAAAAGGTTGGATTTTAGAATTAATTTATGTCAGATTATCATATTGTTGTAGCTTATCAGAATGTTGGGTTTGAGATTTTGATGTGGCCAGGTTAGAATAATTTTTTTGTCTGCCATCTATTCGATAAAATGCTTAAGTGAAAAGTATTTTTCTTAACATTTTGACTTTTATTATCATGAGATTTGATGGTTGGTTTTTGGGTTTTATATAAAAACAGGATATTCCTAAAAGATGGAAAGAGGGCACTAGAGGACCATGTCGGTTTATATGTAAACATTGCCTTATTACAGATGGTTCCACGTCAATAAGGTTAGATTATCTTGTATTGGTTCATAACAACCCTCTCTTTCACCTTTTTAACATTAGCTTGGATATGCAAGTTTGTAATTCCACTGGTAAAACTATGAATGCTATGTAACTTTACCTATGTTAGCTTGTAGACAACATCACCGGCAATGCAGCCAATGTCAACAGTCAAAACCAAAATGCAAGACAGATCGGCCAGGTAAAGTTTTATTAAGAATCGTATGGCATTGTTGAAGAATTGGACACAAAGATTTCTAATTTTCACACATTCTGCTCCACTCACACCCGAAAGAAAGCCAGCTTATTTGGAAGCGGAAGCAAGATAGATGTCTATTTGTGCGATAGAAGAGGTTGACAAAGAAAGAGTTTTAAAGAAATAAAGAGTATCATGATCAATCATGATATTGTTGAAGGTTTGATCTCACATCAGCTTTAGTTGTTTTAGTTTACCAAAATAAATAAAAAAAATAATAGTCACTTTGCTTATTGATTTGTATATGTTAGCAAAGTTTTTCTTTGAGGGTATTTTTGTCATTATACTTAACTGTTTTGTTTCTGTTTACAGCTCTAGAACTACTCAAGGGAAACGCATGTCCATGACAGCTGCTAAAACTTACTCTTTTTAGCCAAACCTGTTTTCACTGTGTCAAAACTAAAAATAGTGTTGATTAAAAAACTACATTCTTACAGGTTTTTATGCCTTTAGTGATTACAAATATACAAATAATTTTATCCTTACAATTAGTCCAATCTGGAGCCAAATGCAACAAATATGAATGTATTTTTCTTTACTACAAGTTTCTGTGTCATGTCATCATCCATGTAAGATGCAAATATGTTATTTAAAAGTCTAATGTTTTGATGAATGTAGAATGTTATAATATGGACAAAAAACCCGGTATATATGTTAGCCTAAAACCGATAAATATCAAGGGCATTTTTGGTATTTCCCAATTATTATCAAATTTGAACCAAAAACGGACTTGGAAACGACTTGAGGACGTAAAAAATCACAAGAAGCCCCTTGATCACCGGGGACAACATCGATTACTTACCGAAATCCGGTAAAAAACCAAAACTTGGCAAACACAATCTAATGGTTCATTCGACAGAGTTTGCTAACTTGGTCGGTCGACTTTTTGGAATTACGGGGTTCTTAGAATTAGGGGGTTCGATCATTTGCTGGTCTTTTTGCGTTTCTAGACGTTATGGTTTGATATGTAATTGTTGTAGAATATTCGGAATTAGTATTTCTAATTTTGACAATTAAAATATATATTAGCATCAAAAAATAATATAGTTGATTATATAGGTACTTGTTACTGTTCTCGAACCTACAAACTATTAAGAGAGATTTCGTTGTTATTGCACGCAAGGTGTGTGCATAGATTTTTTTTAACACATAACTTTATATGGTAATTTATTTTCACTAAGTTGTTATGTGTTGGTTGTTGCTATACATAGAATTTGTGGTATAATTATAGTATACTATATCACAACTTGTAATGGTACCAAAATGACGTTTGTGGGATATGTTGTCTAGTTGTCATAACTAGTTTGTTGTTTGATGTTATTCGATTATGTCTAGTCGTCATGATTATATTGTTGGTTGTTTATGGTTTAATGTCATGCATTTTATGTTATCTAGTTTCCATGTTAGGTGGTTGTTATCTGTTGTCATGGTAGTTGCATATAATGTCATTTCCTATCATTTGTGGGGTATGAGTTTACTTGATGTGAGATGTCATTATAATGAATATGTTTCAGTGTTTGCGGTCTAGTCATCGTTGGAGTACGATGCCATCCATTGATCATTCTAGACGAGTATTTACATACGACTAGGATAGCATACATGAGTGCATGATCGAGAAGAGATATGCATATTGTTTCCATGTCGATACTCCTTTCTCAGATTCAATACGAGCACTAATTAGGTATTGATTATATTGTAGATTTTAGGTGTCTTGTACGGATTCAATACAAACACATTGTGTATTTTTTTTTTCTTGCCAAAATTTTCTTTCTCAAATTTAGTACAAACGATAGATTCTATATTGTTTCCATTGTAGTTTATTTTTACATGTTAGGAGAGTTGGGATAGAAATTACCCTTGCTATAAGGTTACATGGGATAAATATATATTGCATTCATATCTATAAAATCTATATACAATAAAATAAATTTGAATTTGATTATGTTAGATTTCGGGGTCTAAGAATATCAATATTTACTTGGATAATGTCTAGGATCGTGATTGCAATCATTTTTCAAAATTTATGATTTTGACCCTTATGTCTAGGGTATCACGAAATCTGATTTGTAATAATCCAAAATAGACAATTTAGAAGTCAGACCACTTCTAAATCTGAAACACAAAATAATACCTTGTTTTTTTTGTGTTCTTGCTAAGATAGAGAGAATCAGATAAGTGATTTTTTCGTATATATGGAAAGTAACCCTTTTCAGGAAGAATCACAATGTTCTTATACAAAGAGGAAAGTAGTTAATGGTGGTTACATGCATTTTGGTGCCAAAATGACGGTTAGAAATATGGTTATTTAGACATAACTGATTCTTATATAGTGATGCCACAACCTATTTTTGGCGAGAAAATGCGGCTGGACTCTTTCTTGATATATAAATCCGTTTAGTTTTCCAGGGGCTCTGCCCTTGGACCCCACAAGTGGCGCTGCCCCTAAACCCGCCAGGGGTGCTGCCCTTTGGAATCCTGTACTCAGGGGCGCTGATCATGACCCCCCGTATTCTCGAGTTTATATTTATCACTCCGAGTGTACATCCCGTACATTCAGTCTCGGTGAGTAAATATAACCCAACTTGTCTCAATAATAATAATAATAACTACTCTAAAATATGTTGATAACACAAAAATCACCAACATATTCTACAAAGGTAAAATATAAAATCATGTGATGTGAAAAAAAATCTAGTAAAAACGTTAATATAAACGTTTTATGTAATTACATTTGATTTCGAATCTTTAAAACTCGTCTGTGAATATTTAAATTTAATAAAGTTGACCACTTTAATTGTGGTGACTTGGTAAGGTATGTGGAAGACAATATGAGTAATTCATTCACCTATGTTCAAATCCTAACATTATTGATTTCAAGTGATGGTTCTTTTTAATATATTGGTTGTTTCAAAAAGAAAAATAATAATAAAAATACTGAGCTCATGTGATCATGGAAGTTTGCCTACAATGACTTAAGGCATAATACATATCCTCATATTCGCATCGGATGATTAGTCGCACTGATCCGAAAATCCTCGTGCAAAATCCATTTCAAAAAAACAATAATAATAAATAAAATAAATAAATAAATAAATAATAAATTGTTTAACGAGTGTGGAGCGTAACAAAATTAAAACTCGTATAATTTATAAGGAAAAAAAAAACTTTTTTAACTCGCTTTCTGCCATAACTTTACCGAACCCTAGTGATTTTCAATCCCTATATATAAATCCGATCTTCCTTTTCCATTCCCCCCTCCTACATCTTCTCTAATCTCTCTGTTAATCATACATTCAAAGTAAAACGATGAATGAACAAATCCCAAAATACATAATTCCTGCTTCAGAAGCTGAATCCATGGCGAAATCCAGAGGTCTCACTGTCCCTCAACTCCTCCCATTTCTAGTTAAATCAGCTCAAGATATTGCCCGGGTGCCGATCTCCAACTTCCACGTCGGGGCCGTCGGGTTGGGCTCCGATGGCCGGATCTTCTTCGGCGGAAACATCGAATTTCCTGGTCTCCCTCTCAACCATTCCATTCACGCAGAGCAGTTTCTGATCACCAACCTCGCCGCACACGGCGGAGGCCCAAAACTCCTTTACATCGCCGTATCAGCTGCCCCCTGCGGCCATTGCCGCCAGTTTCTCCAAGAACTCCGGGGAATCTCCGATACCCAGATCGTAATCACTGATCAACCCCAAGAAAACCCTGATTACAAACCCATTTCTTCGATTTTACCAGACGCATTTGGTCCTTTTGATCTATTAGATCACGACATGCCTCTAATTCTTGAAAAACATGAAAATGAATTGTTGTTGGTCGATTATTCCCTTTCTTCCCACAACGAAAAATCATCGAAATTACCAAATGGGTACACGGAATTGGTCAAAGAGAATAAAAAAAACTTGGAGAAAGAGGCTTTGTCTGCGGCGCGTGCATCACACGCGCCATACAGTGGGTGTCCATCTGGAGTGGCATTAATGGACTGTGAAGGGAAGGTGTATAAAGGATCTTACATGGAGTCAGCTGCGTATAACCCTAGTATGATGCCTGTACAGGCGGCGCTGGTGGCGTACATGGTGGCCGGAGGTGGTGGCTATGAGCGGATTGTGGCGGCGGTGCTGGTGGAGAAGGAGGGGATGATGGTGAGGCAGGAGGACACTGCTAGGTTAATGTTGAAAAATGTTTCACCAAAATGTGAATTGAAGGTTATCTATTGTACTTAAATTAATCAACAACAAATTATGATGCAAAATTATTAATGCGAACGTATGTAAGGTGATATAGTGCTATTTATTATTCATATAAAGTTGTAATTTATGGATGCTCAATTTTAAATAAAAAAGTATTTAACCTTTTAAAACTGTGGACGAATTAACAATTATTATATCATATGTTCAACTACTCTTGTTTATCTTTGAAACCAATCCTATGCACTACGTGATGTCATAACTTATTGAAGCTGGAAGCTTGAAAGTCCAACCGAAGAAATTTATGTCCTAAAAATTTATTATACATGAATATTTTTTTATTAAAATATCACTTATAGTTTCAACAATTACTTGTTTGTGATGAAGTTATTAAACAATACAATAGATAATAGTCATAATAGGAATGAATAAATGATTTTAGTTTTTTACTTGAATAATTAGTTTTCATACAACTTGTATGAAACTAACTATTTGAGCCATAAATAATCAAAATCATTTTGCTTTTAAATGTTAAAAACTTAATTATTACAATTCATTTAACCATGTCTTAACGTAAATCTTAAGTCTAAACTCTAAACACCCCTTTAATTATTTTCCTTTTATGGTATGTGATTTATGGTATGTGAGAAAAGAGATGTCTATATCCCTTCAACCATGACCTTTCTAATTTTAGGAAATGATAGCTATCTTCAAGCATTGCCAATGCATAATGCCATAAAAACTACCATCCACCATCTTTTCTCACCTTCCACCATTGTCTCTTTTAGAGACAATGGCTCTTGTAAAACAAACCCTAACCATCATTTTCATTTCCGCCCACATCATTTCTACAATACATGTGAATGCTCGTTTCGCACCTTGGCCTGCGGCCGATGCTGGCGCACCGGCCGCAGCTGATATCGAAGAGTCAGATATAGAACCTAACCCATCTGACCTCCTCCCGTTGCCCGACATCACAGAGATAATACCTGATGAAACTGGTGGGACAGACGCCGATGTGGCTAACAGGGTCACCAAACAAATGCAAGTCATTGGGAAAAAGATCGATGAGTTCAACGCATCACTCAAGGCCCGAATGGAAAACCCTAATACATCACACGGAACCAAAGAATGTCTCACGGAATGCGATGAGGTTTTCGGTGCGGCTGTCGATGATATCAGGAATACTATTGACAGCCTCGAAAACTTAAACCTAATGAAGGCTAATTTTGATGTTAGCGCAGTTGCCACCAATGTTGACACGTGTAATGACTGCTTTAAAGAGATGGTTGGTGGAGACCCGGAGGTAGAGAAATTCAGTGATTGGGTTCGGAGCATCACCCGAGAAGCCCTTGAAGCTCTCCAAAAAACCACCAATTAAATTACGAAAGAATTTTACAGTGTTTGTTACACAGGACATGACCAGACAAACTATCCTAGTTAAACGCACGCCAAACACAATACAAGGTTGTCCTGTTTTGTCTTGTTCTATCCAACGAGATTCAAAATCGATAACACATGGAATAGAATCCTATGGTGATTAAACTATAAAAGATCCCGTTTCAACATTGATAGATTAAATTATTAGAAGATAGCATAGAATTACGTGAAGTTAGTACAAGTCATGTAAGATAAACATATCAAGAACATTATATATGCAAGAAAATTGAAGCTTCATTACTTTTTAACTTTCACTTGTTTGGTGGAAGAAGACCTCCTTTGTTAACCTTCCATGGCCCACCATAGAATTTAGGTCTCATAATTGGCACTGCCTCACCAGGATGATCTTCCCAGTATTTTTCCTGCTTGTAAAAGTTAAATTCATTCAGATTTCAGAATATATATATATATATATATATATATATATATATTATAACATATTGAATTGATTATTCAAAGTTGACTATTTGACCTTGTAGAGTTGCTCAGTGATTGCAGCTCCAATGACTCCAGTATAAAAGGCAGATACATAAATTATAACAAGAGGAGTAAATGATTTTGGGCGTTTGAATGGATCAACCATGGTCCATAGGACTTCTTTCTCCCATTTAGTATGCAAGTAGTCAGAATATTTTCTCCACAAATAGGTTGTCATTTGTGAAATTTATAAAAGATTACCTGATTTTATAGAAACCAAAGTTTATATGTTACAATCCTATGATCAAAGTTGAAAAGTTGAAAGCAAGTCAAGAAGGTATTAGAGCAAGAAACAACACCACAATATGGAAAGCAATCAAGTCCACTTTAAACTCAAGTTTTATACTTCTATTTATTTGAGTTTCATTATATTCATTTTCTAAGGGAATCAGCCATTTGAATGGTGATGTTGAAGCTTATGTTTCCCTGGCTTTTCAAAAATCAAAACTTGAAAACTTCATCAAGTAAGATACCCAATTCAAATCTATATGTTAATACAAGATTCTTACAAGTAAAGGACTATTGAGCTTAAGCGTTTGTCAAAAACTACATAACTAAAAGCAGAACAGTTTTAAGAGTGTGTCCTATTCAATATTCATGCGCTAGCTGCCTTCCAAATGAAAATGAGATGACTAATTATACACTTTCTAGTTGTACAAATGACTCGAAAAAACACATGCATTTATTAGTGCGGACAACTGGATATTTGGTTTAGCTGGGCATTTCTACAAACAGGTGGTGGGCATATATACAAACAAACATAGATCCGTAAAGACAGGGAAAGTAGAAACAGCAAGTTGACATCAGGAACGTCACAAAGGATCGGCAAATCAATACTTTTTTAAGCTCACGGAAACTAATTGATTTCAGCGTATGGGATTCTTCAAAACCCTACTAAATTCAAAACCAATTATTGCACTCAAATTATCATTTTCACTAGTTACGTATATGAAAACAACGAATTATAGAAACTAAGACATATTGTTAATTAAAGAAGTTATTAGAAAAAAGAAGACGAACCGCCGGAAAGACTGAAGAAACCGGCGACTCTGATCGCCGCTGAGAAGACGGAGCTCGATACCTTTGCTATTTTTCGACTCGCTGCAACGTATCTTTATTTCCTAAATATTAGAAAGAGTAAATTACAGTTTTGGTCACTGTGGTTTGTACATATCTGTAGTTTTAGTCCTAGTTTTACAATTTTGACATCAGCAGTCCATGTGGTCGGCAATTTCATCAGATTAGGTCCCTATTCCAGTTAGGATGCATTTGACTTCGTTAAATGTTGAGGAAACTCTGCCCTTGGTTATTCTGATGATTGGCCCTTAAAATCAACCAAATATCATAAACAAATAAGGAGTCATAAATTAAAACTTATCCTTTAAAATCATTATAATAGGAAGGTAGATAATTTACACAAATAGTAGAGAACCAAAATCAAGATGCAAGAACCTTAAAGAAATGACAAAGATGCTGACTAGACGGGACTCTCACAGTTTAGGAGGGTGTTTGTGATTTCATTTTGAACTCCAAAAAGACTTTTAGGCAAAAAAAAAATAAATTATTGACTTATGAATGAGGGGAAAAGAGTTTTAAAAAAATGTTTGAATTAACTTTTATAATGACAAAAGTCAATAAGTCAATAGGTTGTTTTTTAAAAATTGTTTGACTTAGCCTACACATGTAAAATGACAAAAAAAAATCCTCTTAAAATCTCATTTTCAAACCTAATAAGTTATAAGTTGTTTTAAGAAGTTAAAAATCACGACTTCTTAAAATTTTATTTTCAAAGAGTTTACAAAAAGTTGTTTTAAGAGGGTGTTTGGCTTTCCTTTTTAAATGACTTTTGAGGCTTTTGGCTTTTTCAAAAAGTCAAAAGTTTAAAAAGTTGTTTGGTAACTTCAAAAGATCTTTTAAATTAGCTTTTTGAAAAGAAGAAAAATAAGGGGTTAAGAAGTCATGAATCTGTGACTTTTAGCAACTTTTGTCTTTTTACCTTTGCTCCCTCAAAAGTTTATACAAACATATTTTAAAACTATCTTTTGGAAAAAGACATAAATCAAAAAGTCATTTTCTAAAAAGGACTTTTTAATTTAAAAAGTTATCCCAAACACCCCTTAAAAGTTCTTCTTATATACCTAAACATTTTTTTAACTGACTTTTCAATAAGTCAATAAGTTAATAAGTCATTTTTTGGTGAAATCCCAAACACCCTCTAGATAGGAAAGAAGTCTTCTTCCTTGGTGCTTAATTTGATGGTGGAATTCATCGATCAACAAGAACAGGAGGAAGAGGGGTTTACACCCAAACCAGGGTGAAAACCATTCATAAAAGTTAAAAAAAAAAAAAAAAAAAAAAAAAAAAAAAAAAAAAAAAACCTTTGACTTGGCTACACATCATTAGGATGCACAGAGTAATAGCGAGCTTCAACCTTGGGTTTGACGGTACTGAGGGTACCATCGGGGGAATTGTTTCGACCAACTTATGGGACCACATGAGGGGCGTTTGGCTGGTAGCTTAACCCATGAAGAATCTTGATGTGTGAAGGCTTTTGGCCTTTTTAATCATAACCAGTCAAATAGGTTTATATATATATATATATATATATATATATATATATATATATTCAAACCTTTATTTACCTATATATTTAATTTCATTCTTTCATTCAAACCATCCATTAATTTTACAATTCTCTCAATACCCTCATCCAATTCCATTCCATACCTCTTCAATTTCGTTCAATGGATGCCCAAGGCAAATCAAGACAAGGCGGTTCTAGCCAAAAACACAAATCCAAGCAAGATGATTCTAGTAAAGAAATCTCATTTTCTTCTTCCAAATCCCAAAATTACCAACAAAATCCACAATATCAACAATACCAACACTATCGACAAAACTCAAACTATCAACAATACCCGGTACAAAAAGCCTACAACTCATTTCGTATTTCATAGGAAAATATGGGTTTACTCAATACATGCAATATTCTCAAGGGGTTCATGAAACCTAATTCCAAAGTTCTTCGCCCGGGGTATCTTAATATCTTGATGCTCAAAACTCAGAATCATCAGATTCTAGTGACGGGCCCGCCCCCAAACAAGATAACGAGGAACTGTAACTAGTTAACGTGAACAAAATGACTACTCAAAACTAACAGTCATTAGATTCTAGCGAAACATCTTCATCCAACACCCACACTACATCTTCAGATGCACAATTTTCATCCAGATTCGACCAACAACACTAAGAAATAAACCCACCGCCTCGGAGACAACTAAAAGGAAAGAAAGTGGCATCCCTATCATCAACATCAAATGAAATCGTTGATTTGGTCAGCGAAATTGTCGGCATCCACATTTTTGAACAAAGTGGAGTCAGGAGAGAAAAAATGATACCGGGATGAAAATTTACGACTTACACGAGAAAATGAAGAACGAAAAGCTAAATTATTGGAGTTGGCCGGTTGGGGATAGAGGAGAGAGACATGCAGTATTTTCTCAAGCTACATCATCACTTGACCGAAGGGCTTTTACGAACTGTGCTTAAACGGAAACGACAAATTACAACAAAATATGGTTGAGAGTTTTAGAATTATCGTGACCACTAGTTAATTTTAATTGTCGTTTTCTTCTTTTTAATGTTGTTTTTTATTATGTTTTTTTTAATCATCTCTTTTTGTAGTATTTATCATGTATTTTTTTATTTATACTAGAGTTTTTTAATTAAAAAATGTTATGTTTTATTTCCTTTTGCATTTTTCTATTTTAATTTAATTAAAAAAAATAGTGATGTGGCAGGTGGGTTGAATGAGTTGAAAAATATATTATTTTCATGTGTTGTGGGTCGAAGAAAAACAAAAGAAAAGTAAAAAATAATAATAATAATAATAATAATAATAACTCTGATGTAATAACGAGTTGAATGGACCGGAAAAGATCTACTCTCCACCTTTAGGACCAAATCCATAATCGATATAAACACATTTTATATTTTTTGTCTATCATGTTATATATTATCCTTTTTTGTAATAATCCATCATGTATTAACAATTTTTACATATATATCGTCCTTTGTTCATACTACATAATATTAATACTTATACTTGTTATTTATATAAACTAGTATTTAGCTAGCATACGTTGCGGCGGATTCGTTTTGTAAATTGGATTTTGACGGTTATAATGAAAAATGTTAGGTATCGTTGCATTGTTTGTATATAAATAAACAAAGTTGTTACCACTAACTAACTCTAATATATATCGTCGAATGAAAACGTATTATATATGACCAAATCCATACGTAGGAAATGTATATAAAAATAAACTAGAAAACGTAAAGAAACTGAAATTTATGCTCGCACGTACATAAAAATAACTACGATTTATTTTTTAAAAATTAACGAACGGAAGTTCAAATAATAAAAAACGTACGATTCATACGTCGTAAGAGTATATAAAAATAAGCAGAAAAAAAAAACCGAAAGTTCTAAATTTACGTCAAAGCGATAACCACCTCGAATTTGCACCAACACATACATAAAAATAAGCACGTAAAACATTAGTTTTTTTAAGTTAACGAACAAAAGTTATTAAGGAAAAATCAGATTATACATGATACGAGGAATAAATAGGAAAGTTTACAAAATAAAGGAGGGATGAAAATGATATTTTATAAAGCTGAAAAATAGAGGAGATCAAAGTAATATTTTAAAAAGTAGAGGGAATACGATATTATTCTACAAAATATTTTAAAAAGTAAAAGGATAGAATATATAATTTTTTGAACTATAGGGGCCAACCGGTGGAAGTTTTTAATATATAATATAATTACATTCTAGAGTTTTGTTATCGCCGCAACTCATCAAAGGGTGATCGTGAGGGTGCTCGGGTTCTGATCGGCTCATTTGCAGCCCTAGTTAGAATATTTGATTGAGAAAGAGATGACTGAATTGTTTTTTTTATAAGTTGACTAAAAATCAATTTAATTAAAGGAAATAACGCTAAAAGTACGAAACCACAATCAAAATATTGGAGGCGGAATATAGAAGTCTTACGGTTACTATTTGTGAGCTTCTTTGGATAAGCTACATCCTTAGAGATATGAAAGTAAAATTCAAGGTTTCTATATCACTATGATGTGATAATAAAGTTGTGATACACATAACAGAAAATCCAATCTTTCACGAGAGGACTAAACACCTTGATATTGACTGTCATATAGTGCGGGAACAGTTCAAACATGGATTCATTATACCATAACATGTTCCAACAGATAAGCAGCTAGCAGACCTATTCACAAAAGGCCTTTGTGGACCCCAATTTCAATTTCTTCTATCCAAGATGAATCTTGATGACATTCATCAAAATTCATCTTGAGGGGAGGATATTAAAGTTTCAATCAGGAGAAGTCAAACGCAAGATCAAAAAAAAAGTCCACGCAAGCAATAAGAATATTAAGTCATGTTGGAAAATATAGGGTTTGTAGTGGAGATCTGGATACCAACTTGGATCGTTTGAACACTTTCTGAACTGATATTTCTATCTATGTCTAGGTTGCAAGAAATTCAGCATAGGATAATCCAAGTTGACACTTACAATTCTAGGAATAGAAATCGTAAGCCAAATTGCTAGAAAGATTTTGTGAGTGTATGAAAACTGAGAGTTAATTTTGTGTGTATTTTTCTTCCCAAAAGGAAGAGTTGTTTATATAATAAACGAGATTAGGATTTCATTAGGGTTGGACCGTCATCAGTTGTTTTGGAAGCAAGTCAGGGTAATCCGAATTTAAATGAGGATTTAGGGTTACCAAAACTAACGAGTTTCGTTAGTTTTACCATAATCACCCTCAAGAATCTGAATTTTCCACTATGTTCCCCAGCCAGGGGCTCTGCCCCTTGGACCCCGCTAGGGGCGCTGCCCCTAGACCCCGCCAAAGGGGTGCCGACCCTTTGGAAACCCCGGACCCAGGGGCTCTGCCCCCGACTTGTCATCGAACCGACTTCTAATTCGATCTTATCATGTGTGCACTTCGCACTAACCCGTACATATATTAGAGTACAAATTATGAAGCCCCTTAGTTCACATGTTCATTCCAATTACATAAAA